CAAGAATATGTACATTTAATCTGAACCTAATTTAGCATTTTACAATGCTCAAAAGGTAGCTTAAAACAGTAATTTGTTCCATGAGTTTGTCTTGCCTTTACACAACTGACAGTGGCAAAATTTTAGATGGTTGATATGATCTACCTTTTATCCATTAATAAGTTTTATTTTTCTCAGATGTAGTAATTGCGCTGACTACTTTCCTGACAAAAAGAATTAATTTCTGTAACAAAAGAGCAGGGGAAGTATACAATGGGTATTTTGAAAAGGTCATTGAACTTGTCACACTTAAGATCTGGCATGCCTGAACTTAGCATCATAGAATCATAGAATAGTTAGGGTTGGATAGTACCTTAAGATCATCCAGTTTCAACCCCCCTGCCATGGGCAGGGACACCTCACACTAAGCCATGTCACCCAAGGCTCTGTCCAACCTGGCCCTGAACACCACCAGGGATGGAGCATTCACAGCTTCCTTGGGCAACCCATTCCAGTGCCTCACCATCCTTACAGAAACGAATTTCTTCCTTATATTCAATCTAAACTTCACTTATTTAAGTTTGAACCCGTTACCCCTTGCCCTATCACTACAGTCCCTAATGAAGAGCCCCTCCTCAGCATCCTTATAAGCCCCCCTTCAGATACTGGAAGGCTGCTAGGTTGTCTCCACGCAGCCTTCTCTTCTTCAGGCTGAACAGCCCCAACTTTCTCAGCCTGCCTTCACACAGGAGCCGCTCCAGTTCCCTGATCATCCGCGTGGCCCTCCTCTGGACTTGTTCCATGCCCTTTTTATGCTGAGGACACCAGAACTGTACACAATACTCCAGGAGAGGTCTTACAAGAGCAGAGGAGAGAGGAAGGATCACCTCCTTGGACCTGCTGGTCATGCTCCTTTTGATGCAACCCAGGATACGGTTGGCTTTCTTGGCTGCGAGCGCACACTGAAGCCAGCTCATGTTCAGCTTCTCACTGATCAACACCCCTAAGTCCTTCTCCACAGGGCTGCTCTGAATCTCTTTGCTGCCCAACCTGTAGCTGTGCTGGGACTGCTCCGACCCAGGTGTAGGACCTTGCACTTGGCATGGTTAAACTTCATGAGGTTGGCATCAGCCCACCTCACAAGCGTGTCAAGGTCCCTCTGGATGGCATTCCTTCCCTCCAGCGTTATTAACCGAACCACACAGCTTGGTGTCATCGGCAAACTTGCTGAGGGCGCACTCAATCCCACTGTCCATGTCAGCAACAAAGACGCTGAACAAGACCAGTCCTAACACCGATCCCTGAGGGACACCACTCATTACTGGCCTCCAGCTGGACACTGAGTCATTGACCACAACTCTCAGCGTGCACCCATGAGCCAGTTCTTCAAGAATCATACATCAATCTCTGATGTGACCAAAATTTCCTCAGTAAAAACAACCTGTCTTCTTTTTGTAATTCCTAGATACCATATGATGCAAAAGTAAAGATGTGTTATATATGTGATAATGTAGCAGAACACTATGAAATTATATTTCAAGGTTACATTATACTACTGCTTCATATGTTTTAAGCAAAGATTCATATATAAAGGGAGGTCAGAGTATTAAAGTGAACTGCTTTCTGTCCTCCAGAAGGTTAAAGTCATGTTTTGGCACAGTCCCCTCTTTGGAAAAAAAAAACCACACCCCCCCTCCACTCCAAAAAAAAAAAAAAAACATACCCCCCTCAAAAAAAACCTCCAAAAATCAACCAACAAAACAGAAAAGCCGACCAACCAAAAAAAAACAAAAAAAAACAACCAACCCCCCCATACTCCAAAACCAAACCCTAGTATTTTAATAACCAGTACCATATGGGATACCATACCTACTAAGTAGTATGCCAATGGATCACATATGTGTATTTCTCAAAGCTTAACTGGTGAGCACATGAACCTCAAATGTAATTCAAGAGAGTATAATAAAAGGCAGTCTATAAGAAAAATGAAGTATTGACAAACTAGGTATGGTTTTACTTCCATAGGTAAGCTTCAGTCTTTCTTTGAATTTCTTCAGATAATCTGTACGAGTGACATGAAAGGGGGAATCACTGAGAAGACTGAGTAAGGTGAGGGACAAATCAACCAGGCATCCTTGAGTAACGGCAAAACCCCCACACTGGTTATGAACAGGTAAGGAAATAAAAAAGATGTGAGAGAGCAGCTCTTAATCACTTTAAAATTTCAGTGCTTTGTCTGTTAAGCAAAGTTCTTATTATTTTTTCCTATTCCATTAGAATTGACAATACTTACTATTCATACAAGTCAAAGAAAACTGCAATAATTCATTGTCAACTTCAGTGATTGCTCATAAAGTTGCTAACTCTAAGAAGGCTGAAGCATGCCTCTTCCATCATGGAACTGTTTAGGAGGGAAAAGTGCATGTCTGCTGAATTATTCTGAATAAAACCATTTCTTTTACCAGCAGAATGAAAATTTTCTGAAAATAACCAAATGGGGAAAAAATGTATTACTGTATACATAATTTGATTTATTTTTCTCACAATACAGACGTCTGCATGAACTGACACCGGCTTGCATATGCAAAACCAAAACACTTCAACTGGTTTTAAATCTTGGAAAGCGCCTGACGTTTCTGCTGATTTCCTGCTGAATAGTAGCTCAAAATAGCTGCCAACTGCAAACTGCTTGAGCTCAAATTGCTTGAACAAGTCCGAAAATAACACGCAGAATAAAATCTCCAATGTGAAGCAAAATGTCTGGTAGCAAACGGAAAAAGAACCATGGGAATAAGCCTGATAAGGTGACAAATCTGTATAAATCATATATGCCTAAACCCCCACGTATTATCAAAGAATAACTAGAACACTTTCAGATGAATTTAATTTAGCCAAAACGTTTCAATTCACATACAGAGTCTCTTCTGAACAGACAAATACAACACCCCCTAAGTATTACTTCTATATAAAATTAATTCTGTGCTAATCTTAAACTGGCCTCAGGAAGAGGCGACAGAATTTTAATTAAAACAAATTCTTTCAACTTATTGGATTTTATTCCTACGTAACAGAAAAACACACACACACAAAAGGAAAGCCTAGAAATTCTAAAATGGGAAAATTCTAAAATTAGAAGAAACATGGATCCATAATAGTTTGGTTTTTCTGTTGTTTTTCTGAAGATAATAAAAAACATATTTGACCCACATACACCAATCCCAGAGACAGAAAAAGAACAAAATGATAGATTTTAAACGTATTCAGAAAACTGCTGGGTTTTCTGGGTTTTGGCAAAAGTCAATTTTCCTGTACAGTAAAATACTTTTTCCTCAAAGAAACAATTCACACTGCTTAAGATAAAAATTTCTAGCAATTAGTACCAATTCCTGGTGTGATCTAACACAAAATGGTTCACACTGTGTGTGATAAAATGCAACCTGTATAAAAGTACAGAATGAAATCATCTAGGTAAAGACTCACAAATTGGAATTCCAAAGCTTTTTATATCATTAATGAAGATTAACCCTTTTCTATCATCACACTACATTCACATGATTCCTACTTCAGACCTGAAGTACCAGACTGAATCCACGTGCTCCTTCCAAGCTGTTAGGAAAAGGAATGGAAACTGGGGCTTTCCAATGAGGCGAAAGAAACAAAACAAAGTAATCAGCAAACTTGCTGAGGGTGCACTCAATCCCACTGTTTATGTCACTTACAAAGATGTTGAAAAGGATCAGTCCCAACATTGACCATGCCCATGGCAGGGAGTTTGGAACTAGATGAACTTAAAGGTCCTTTCCAACCTGAACCATTCTATGATAAACAAGAAGCTGCCCCCACCGCCCCAATCTTACTTATCTTTTCTTATGCTACGATACCAGCATTAGAATAATCTACCTTCTCACATGATCATTAAAAAAAACCAACCAAGCAAACAAAAAATAAACCTAACAAAAAACCCCAACCAAACAAAATAAGCCTAAACCAACCACCCCACCACCTTCTCACTCAAACCACAAAACCCAGCACAAACACCACAAACAGCTTTTGGAGCACATGTTCACAATTTAAATTTATCTTTCATTCAAAGACATAAAACCCCACACACTCTTTTCACACCTGCAGATGGGTTATCAACACGACAGTGAAACAGAGTATTTATTTCAAAGATAATATAAAAGTCATAGCAATGGCCATGGATAACATTAAGGAAATATACTTTAGTAATTTCCTTATGCTGCTGTTTCTCCTCAAAGAGGGTTTTATTCAAACTTCTCCAATAAACAGAACTATGGTTCACTAACAAAAGGTATAATTAATGTCTTCAGCTGGACTACAGCAATGTACCAAGATAACCTTTTTTTTGTTTTTTGGTTTTTTTTTTAGAGAAGTCTCATTAAGAGCATAATCTCACACTTATATAATTCAACTTTATTTAAAATGCACAGACTAAAAAACAAAAGAAATGCAGGAAATGTTGTTATACTCTTGGAATTTAACACTTCCATAAAATACATGGGTATATAAAGCACCTTGTACACAGTCACCAATTTCGTAACAAGCAAATACGCTTGGAGTAACACTACAGCAAAATGAAGTCAGGCACGGAACAAGTTATTTTCCATGTTCCTCCTTACAAGAGTTCTAGTTTTGGCAACATATATGAAGTTTCCATGTAACTTCACCGGGCATTTCCAAAAAGCAGCTGATTCACCTTTCCTACTGGTTTCAACAAAAGGAAACAGAAAGCAGTTTAAGAAAAAAATCACCTACCCATATATATAAATGGAAGATTTCACAGTTTAAGTGTAAACTATGAAAAAGCACAACTTGGTTCACTAGATCTAATTGTATAGGGCCAACAAAAATGAATCAGTAATTTTCTGAACTGTAACTACTCAACTATGAGGAAAAGCTGTTCAGGTGCTAGAATCTGAAGATTTACAATGATGTCAAAATATTAACAGGTATCTTAAATTTTGAGAGGCATCCATTCAAGTAAGTTTTGTAACATTTACCTGTATCCAAGCGCTTTACAGGGGACTCATCATCAACCTCAGAATCTCCACATGCACTCCTTGATCTTTTCCTTGGGTGCAGAAGTGTCTCCAACCTTGGAAGGACTACAGACAAAAAGGTTTTGGTCCCTAGCTGTGGAGAAGTTGGCTGGGTTTCAGTGTTCTTTGCAGACTTTTGGGGGCTTATACTTTTCGATTTGCAGAAGAGAATGGATGTACGTCTGTTTACATCAGTTGATGACTCAGCTACAGCAGAAACAGTCGACTCATTGAGATTACTGTCAAGTAAGTGTTCTGGAGTGTGTCCATTTATTTCTTTCTGAATGGAAGTGCTATATAATTCATTATCAAATTTTACTCTTTTGTAAAGCTTACTCTGCTCTGGATTGAGTTCTACTGGTTTGAGGGTTGGTGGTTCTGAATTAGTCTCCAAGTTTGAAGGAAGAGGTAATGCATCTGATGGTTCAAGTTTAGGGGGAGATTTATCTCCTGAAAAAATTATAAATAGAGTGTGATTTTTGAAAACCTGTAGTTATAAAGTCTATTATAAAACTCACTACAAATGTGCAGCCCACCAAATAAATTGTTGTTTGGAAACAAAGCATAACATTTTAAAAACAAACCTTGTCTAGCAACAATCTGTCCTAGTTAGTAGTTTCTACTTTTATGCTGGGAATGTAACAGGGATAGAAAAGTAGGTGTTTATAGCTGGTGTTAAAGAGTTTACACCTAGAAAAATACTTTTTTACTTCTCATGCAGTTATGTTAGTTTCATTAACTAAAAACTAAGAAATCTCTTCTTTTAACTAGAAAGCTGGGGTTGTGGATGGTTATCTGTTAAATGCAATTATACTGCCATTCAAGTACATTTTAATATACACCTTTATTTCACCTTAACAATATTCACTTTACCTGCCTAAGACACATTTTTATCAGATAAGCATAAACTCCACACCATATCTGTAACCTGATCTACGAGAATGAGCTAAAATGCATCATAAAATCTCCAGAAAGTCAAGACTTGAAAAGCTTTTCTACAGTTGTGGCTAGACGTTTTATCTATCAAAAAGAGGGAGAAAAAAGGGGAGGAAAAACCCCACCACCTCCAAAGTCCTGCAGCTTCACTAGCCACTAGCTGGCAACTTGACAATGCAGACTTGATAGAAGAAGTCAGAAAAACCACCCTCTACCATTATTTCTCCTTCCCTCTCCCCCTCTTTTTTTAACATGATCATTGCCTGGTCAATTCCAGGATTTCAGTGCTGGGAAAAGACAATGGAGATATAACTGAGTGTAAAAATCTCGTTTCAGTTTTCCATCAAAAGCGATGGGAGGACAAATACACATTCTACTGTTGTAGCAGTCCCAAATACAAGTTAAAGGGCTTCCTAACCCATAATTTCCAACTCAAAAAGATGTTACAACCTTCTTTCTAGCTTCCAAAAGAACCTTCTAAAATATAACTTAAGAAAGAAGATGCTTATTCTAAAGTAATTTTCTGAGACCAATGTAATATTTATGCCATCACATAAGATTTTAAAATTTAGCTAATTTTTCTATGCCACATGAAAGAAAAAGGTTTAAAAACCCCAAGGGCTTAAGCCCTGTATCTGTAGTGGATTAAATACTATCTCTGTACTGCTTTGGGTCTGGCTCAGCAACGCTTACTTGAAATCAATGACTAAGTGCAGAAAAGTCTCTGCCCCACTGCTTAAGGTCTAATCAAACAAGAGCACAGTTCCTATTAAAAAGGATATTGTTAAAATGAAGTATTAACCATGCTCACATCTTTTGAAGGAACATAAGTATTAGAATTGGTAAATAATATTTCAGGAAGGCATTCAGAATGAAATTTACAGTCAGATAAACAAATTTAAATACCACAAATTAAAAAAGCATGTAGTTTAGAATGTCCTAGGTGACTCTTCATTGTGAAGAAATTCTAATTTTCTTTAAATTATTTAGGAAATAGTCACAAAAATATTTAGGCATTCAAGCACTAATTTGAGATTAAACCCTAAATTTCATAGAATCATAGAATAGTTAGGGTTGGAAAGGACCTTCAGATCATCCAGTTCCAACTCCCCTGCCATGGGCAGGGACACCTCACACTAAACCATGTCACCCAAGGCTTCATCCAGCCATTCATGGGGTTATTCGGGTACCAAATTTTTCACAGAATCACAACTGAAAACATAATCGCTAGAGGGAAATTCACGGCTCTTCTAAAGTCAGCTCCTGTAGAGATCTTGGGCACAGGAATCTACTTCTTTCCTCATCTTTCTTTTTGGCAAAGTGTTTTCTTTACTCCTTTAAGTACCTTCCACTTTCCAATCAGGATATGAACTAATGACTGTTACTCTTCACTAGATCAGAACTGTAACAGCAATGCCAATCAACTCTGGATCATGCTCTTCTGTTTTAAAAAGCATACTGTCAATATAAGAAAACAGCTACTGCTCAATTTTGGACTGTATCTTGCACAACAGCTGCAGTGAAAGGCTGTGTCACAGAAAAGCTAGAAGTAAAAAAACTTCAGTTATCTGCCTGAAACTACATTCCTAAAGAACTATATTCGGTAGCATCATCACTTGAAGATTAAAAATAAAATAAAATATAAATTTAAAAAATCATTAAATGTTTTAAGAATAGTTAGCGGCCTCAAGAACAAGGTAAATGTGTTGATTCACATACACTTCTACTGTTGTCATTCAAATCTCAAGCAACTTACACGTTTGAAAAGCATTCTCTTAGTCGCACTAAGAATTAAAATCCAAGTTGCTGTTCGAATGGCAGTTAAGGACTGTCATTTTATTGATTTGGCCTTTCAGAAATTTTGGGAACATCAAGCTCTACCAGAACAGACTGTTTTATTTATTACCATGCTTCCATTTTCCCTTGAGCTCTTTTGTCCTGCCATTCAAAGCACTTGAAATTCAATGCAAAATGAAACATATCTCTAACTCTCCTAAAGAAAAATCAATTAGCTTTTTAGAGGCGAGCTGATCATGCAACAGACTCAAAAGAACTTCTTTTTTTTTTGAGACTAGATTTTCTTGGCAACATTTAAAAATTAGCAATAAAGATCTCTGTAACTGATTTAAAACCTAAAAATACAAATATAATATTCAACTGAACTATAAAGTTAGGTCTTTCTAGTATACTGCTCTCATTGAAATAAATGGGAATTAGCCAAGAGTTGGTGCAGCTTCGAGACCAGTATTTTAAGGAGGAAGAAAAGCGTAAGGGGAAGGACTGGTTAGATATGGCTGACTTGGTTCTACAACATTAAGTCTGTTAAGTCCTAACAATAGCTAGATTAAAAAAAACAACAAACAACCCAACAAAAAACACCCCCACCAAAAAAAAACAAACCCAAACAAACTAAATTAACAACCCAAACCTACCCTCCACTGTCCCCAAAGTATGAAGCAGAGAGTAAGAACAGCTACAAAAGACAGTAAAATGGTCAGAGTTTTCAGCATCACTGACCTAGGTTCACATGATCCCCAAAACATATTTAGTTATTTAAGTGGATTTCTTAAAGTACAAAGATACTTTCCACTTGGGCATTTCCAATTTCTTCTTGTATGCGACTGTCTGTATTTTTGTTAACACCTAAATTTTTAAAAAGCCTTGCTACTTTGAAATATAATGTAGGGAGATTTTGATAAAAAAAATATCATTCTCATACTCTTCAAATATTTGTTGCGATTCAGTGGCTATTTGTCCATTGAAAAATTAAATATAATATTAATTTACTACACCTTAATAAACACTATTAAAGCACCTGACTGAAGAAGTTCAGAACAGTACTAGGTTAAACATGGTTTAAATTCTTACCTTCCTCTTCTCCATCTTGTTCTAATGCTGGACCTTCTTCTTCAAAACTTCCAATACCTGATTCTATTTGAGGAGCTTGGTTGTGTTGCTGACTAAGTTTGTTGCGAATAATGCTGATTTCTTTCTTTAACAGCTTTGCTCTTTTGCTCCTCGACCCACTGGATTTCATTGCACAGGTCAGATCAAGTTTTTCTAGCAACTCTCTCAACTGTTCTTCCAAGGACATATGCGCTCTGTTTGCAGGATTCAGTAACCTATCCACTAAAGTGAAAATACATATGATTGAAAATATGTTAGTGCTTTCCAGAATGTTTCCCAGAAAAGTAATCCTAAAAGGAGGAAAAAATAAAATTCACTTGCCAGAACTAAAAACATCATAAAAAGCTACTCAGATTACAGTCTTAGTAGCTTCACCATCACCAGTGATGTTGAAATGAATTCCTACTACATAATTACCATTCTTCTTGATCAGCATTTTGCTCAAGAAAGCTAAATAGCAGAGCAAAGAATTAAAAGGTCAGAAGGAAGACATAATTAATCCTTCTCACCCTAACAGATTATTTTCTAATTGTCAAAGAGAAGGGCAAGATTATGGTCATAAAAGAAACGTGTTAATTATTCTCCTTTATTGCCAAAACCTCAGAAAACTAATGTGCGTGTCAAAAGAAGCTATTTTAATTCCTAGTATTACAAGCACATTTGATTTTTTAATTCAGTAGTTTATTTAAGAATGTGCTTAAATGTGTGTGTGTACTGGTAGTTGTTTTTCATGACTTACAAGCACATACAATCATGTGAAAGAAAGAACTCAATTTAAAAACCTTTTTCATGCATCTTGTTAAATTAGCCTCTTGCATTATCAAAATCAGAAACTGGACAATGCTTTTTAATAACAGATCTAGTAGAATAGAAACACTTGTATCTTTCAGGACATTTTTTAACTGGGAGGGAAGGGAGAAACCTACTCAGCAAACGGAACATTAACAATCTTAAATCATCTGTATGGAATGTACACACTGTGTGTAATGGAAAATGCAACTTTTAAAGATAATCCAAAAACATCTTACCATCTTCCCAAGAGAAAGGCTGGGGTGACTCAAGTTTAGGCCGTTCAGGTAAGTGCATTCCAGTTTCATTATTATAACCAATGCTTTCAGCATCTCGCCTAGCTTGCCTGAGAACTACACCTCCTTGATCTCGTAACCGCACTGCCGCTCTATAAAATATTGTATCTTTTGCATTGTATTTCATACAGTTATCTATGATAAGATTGAAGTCTTCTTCAAACTCACTGAGGTTTTTATAGCCTTGAGCCTCTAACCGTTTTCGCATGGTAGAGAAATCCATAGGATGTTTAATATGATCCAAATAGTCTGGAACCTTTAAATAAACATTTAAAACACAAATGGGTAAAATTATCTTACTACAGACAAAATAACATTAGCTATTAAAAGATCCACATTTTAAAACATATTTTGTAACACCTCTAATAAAGAGCTTTGAAGTGTAGCTTATAAATGCACATCTTGATACTGTAATCATTCACATACCAGCAAAAGTTTACATACTACAAGATTCTGCATCTTAGGTAACAAGTCAGAGCTCCAGTAACAGGTACTGAATTTACATGATTTTGTAATTCTATGGTTGTGTGTATACTATGCATGTATTTATGCATATACACATACTTACAAATGCATGCATACATATAATATACAGCTGTACATAGCATATGCACACATACATACACAAAATAAACAGACATGTATACATGTCTACATGTTATTTATGCACACGTATAGAAGTATTGTATATGTATGCATACACACACCTACATTCTATCTAGTTTCCCAGGGAATGGAATTTCACCTGAAAATAAGAACGCAGTATCTACATTTCTGTTCTATCAACCTTATCACAAAAGATCAATATGAACCACATTATTCTATACATGTATGTTCTAGAAATTATTTTGGTATATGAGCATAAATATAACTTCCTGTTATGAAAGTCTAAGTCATAATGCAAATTAATCAGAATAGAGATTAAAAGGTATCCTGGGTTCAGCTTGTTTTTCTCCTTCCTAGTAGCTGGTGCAGTGCTGTGTTTTCAGCTTTAGTCTGAAAATGACACTGATAACACACCAACGTTTTCAGTCATTGCTAAGTAATGTTTACTCTGATCAAGGACTTTTTAGTCTCATGCTCTGCCAGGGAGGAAGGGCACAAGAAGCCGGGAGGAGGCAGAGACAGGACACCTGACCCAAACTAGCCAAAGGGGGTATGCCATACAACAGCACGTCATGCCCAGTATATAAACTGGGGGAGTTATCTGGAAGGCCCATATCGCTGCTCAAGTCAGGCTGGGTATTGGGCAGTGGGTGATGAGCAACTGTATCGTGCATCACTTGCGTTTATTGTTTTCTTTTCCTTTTCTCCTTTTAGTTTTATACTCTCTCCCCTTGTTATTTCCCTTAACATCATTATTACTGATGGTAGCAGAAGTGATTTGTGTTATGCCTTAGTTACTGGACTGCTCTTATCTCAACCCATGGGATTTAGATTCTTCTGATTCTCCTCCCCATCCCTAAGGGGAAGCAGGGGGAAGATGAGGGAGAGGAATGAGCGAGCAGCTGCGTGGTTCTGAGTTACGAGCTGGGCTTAAACCACAAAAGGCAATGCTGCTTCCACCTCTGTGTGCAGTGATTTGCTTCTTGTATTTAAGTGTCACCAAGTCCTTCATAAACACAAGGAAATACATCTTAAAACATACCTCCTTAAGGTTCACTGGCTGAGCAAATATCCGAGCAGAATCCTTTTCCTGCAGCTGATCCAGAACTGATCGCAAAAGTACAGTAAACGGAGTAAGCTGAAGTTCCAGAGCAACCTGCTCAATCTTGACCTATAGAAGTAGTAATTATCCAATTAAGCATTATTCCTTAAGATACCATTTTAAAGTTGCTTTGCAGCAATACTACAGTACTTCAGATATGAAACACCACAGATATATTTAACTGAATGAGTTCAATGCTATTTTTAATATCATCAGTTCACATTTGTCTGACACGTATTTTCAGCTAATGACTTTGTAGGAAAACAAATATTCTCATCCCTTCATTGTAGACTCAACCAGCTTCTCAGAACTGAAATTTGTATTTCACCTATAAATCTATTTTGTTGCCATTTTTAACAGTATTTCTTTTGTTTGAAAAGATGTTACACAAGAACAGCTTCCTATTTCATCAACAATGCCAAGAATAACAATTGTAATACAGCTGTAATAACAAGAATTTAAAGGTAACATTAAATTTCAGTTGCAGTGCCATGTTCAAAATGTAAAAAGAGAATTTGCTGAACATCTGTTAAGTTACACCAGACCAAAACAAAGAGTAATTTCAAAGATGACGTGTTATATAAATTCCAAGAAAAAAATTTAGATAAACAGAATCAACATCTTCAAATACTTGCTCATCCTTCAGAACATTTGTTATTTTTTACAATATTACAACTCCTCTCCAGTTTTATTTTCAGCCTATTTAAAGTTGAAACAGTTTTGTTATAGCAAAAGTAAACTCTTAATGACACATTAACAGTGTGTGTACACATATAATAGAAACATTAAACAAAGTATACACATACAAACACATGCATAAAATACATGTTTATAAATAACAACACGTAATACGTATGTATTGCAAGTGATATGTGAATGTTTAAGAATGATGCATGGAATTCCAGAAAGCACTCAAGAGTTACAAACTACATTAGCTTGCAATGAACGTGTACAGCTTGCAAACAGTAAAAATGGAATGGTGTTTTTATAAGGACAATTAAAGACTTGTAAGTGTTAACATCTTGCTTTCATAGTTTTCATATAAAATACTATCTTTCTGAACCACCACTTCCTCAAGTCTCTTCTCCCAGCAATGTTAACTCAAGAATGTTGCAGGACAGAGATGCACGTTTAGGGATTAATTTTTTTTTCCATTGTTTTAGTGACAGAAGAATAAAAGTGCTACTCAGTACAGGCACAAGTATTAGGAAAACATAAAGAGATGAAATTTCCTATACTTCTTCAGGAACCAATCATATTTGCAAGTCTAACAGAATGCCTGTTAAACAATTTCTCTGCACAAATGCACACAGCACAGGCAACAAGCAACAAGCTGGATGCCACTGTGATGCTAGAAAGCTATGACCTAGCTGTCACTACTGAAAAATGCTGGGATGAATCCCGCAGCTGGAGTGTGACTATCAATGGCTATAGGCTGTTCACAAGGGACACTGCCCTGTTGCGTAGTGACGGGGTCAACAATGCAAGGGTCGAATAATAAGAAGGGTTTCTACAGGTCTGTCAACCAGAAAAAGAAAAGTCAAAGAAAGCATACCCCCCAGGAATGTCACTGGCAAACTGGTAACAACGGATGAAGAGAAGGCTGAGGTAACCCACCAACTTTTTTGCCTCAGTCTTTACAGGCGCTCTCTCTTCCCACACCTCTCAAGTAGATGGACCTCGAGGAAAGGACTGGGAAAGTGAAGTCCCTCCCACTGTAAGAGATCTGGCTCATGACCATTTGAGGAACCTGAATATGTGTAAGCCTATAGGAGCTGATGAGATGCATCTGAGAGTCCTGAGGGAACTGGCTGATGTGGTTGCCAAGGCACTCTAAGATATGAGAGTCATGGTGGTCAGGTGCAATCCTCAGAGACTGGAAAAGGGAAACACTGAACACATTTTTAAAAAGGGGAGAAAGGAGGACCCTGGGAACTACTGACCTGTCAGCCTCTCCTCTGTACCTGGGCAAAAATAGGAACAGATCCTCCTAGAAGCCGTATTAAGGCCCTGCAGAGGATGAACTGGTGGATGAAAAACTGGACACAGGCTGGCAGTGTGTGCCCATTCCTGAAAGGCCAACTATAGACCCGGCTGCTTTCAAAGAAGCATAACCAGCAGGTCAAGCGAGGTGATTCTGCCTCTCTACTCTGCTCTCATGACACTCAACTTGAAGTACTGTGTACAGTTTTAGGGCCTCCAACACAGAAAAGACATGGACCTGTTGGAGAGGGTCCAGAGGAGGACCAGAAAAATGATCAGAGGGTTGGAACACCTCTTCTACAAAGAAAACTAGGGTTGCTCAGGCTGGAGAAGAGAAGGCTTCAAGGAAACCTTACTGCACCTTTCAATACTTAATGGGGGTTTACTAAAAAATATGGGGACAAACTTTTTAGTACAGCCTTTTGTAACAGGACAAAAGATAATGGTTGTAAACTAAACCAGGGTAGGTTTACGATACATGTAAGTGAGAAATTTTTTACGGTAATGGTGGTGAAACACTGGAGCAGGTTGGCCAGAGAAATGACAGATGCCGCATCCCTGGAAACATTCAAGGTCAGGTTGGACAGAACTCTGAACAACATGATCTAGTTGAAGATGTCCTTGTTGACTGCAGGGGCATTGGACCAGGAAGGTCCCTTCCAACCCAAACCATTCTGTGATTCTATGATAATTTTATGTATCTTAAACAGGTTGCATGAATGCGTGCATGCACTTTTCTTGATCCTATGTGAGGATTAGAAGAGAAACACTGCAATCTTTCTATTGCAAAAACTGTGTGTTAGAATACTTAAACTATCTTTTCTTCAGAAAAGTTTCACCAAATTAAAAATTCCCTTTACCTGTTCTCTTTTTAATTTTTCACGCTTACGTATAAGTTCAATCAACAAACGTGCTCTTTCAAGATCATGGCGCAGCCTTTGCCAGTACTTCAATTTTTCTTTTAAGGCTTGCATTTCTTCATCATCTTCTCTCTAAGAAAAGAACCAAAAGGTTTTCATGACATAAGGAAAACTAACCTGTTTTTATAAGCTATGCTTTATGTAATTACAGAATGTATTTCCAGAAAAAGAGAAACTACTGTCTAATAGCTATGGTACTTGATCATAAGCTTCATGCTGCAACAAAAGAAAACCTCCGATCAGAATATCTTCTAGAGTTTCTCAGCCATCTAGCTGAAAACAAAACCTGTGAAAACCAGGAAGCAATCCTATGGTAAAGGCTATTTACATCAGAAAAAACAATACAGCAAATAGCAACGCAGCAATATAACAAGCTACAAAATAAGATTTTGTATTTTTACATTAAAATCCAAACCACGTGAAGATCATCAGCTTCTTCAGAAGCTCAAGCCTGTTAGAAACAAATTCTTCTTGTGCTCAACACAGTCCACCTCCCCCACACCCAGAATTAGAGCACACTTGTAACAGAACAAAATCACTATAACTTCTGAGGACAGGAAATAAAAAGCAGTTTATAGTAACTTTATGTGGTACAGCAAATGGGTAATGCAGTAAACACAACCTTCCAGTGAACTGATGAAACAATTCATGTATTTTTAGGAAGAAGTATTTGAATACTTGCAATATTTAGTTTGATTTGTACATACAGAAAACAGAGCCTTTCTTTTTTTTAATATTCTTCGTAAGGAAAAGGAGGATATTGGAATACTACCTATAGTATTCAAACAGTATTGGTAATTCACGAGAAACAAGGCCATAACAAAGTAGGAGTCCTCATATTAGTACCACGTACACGAAAGAAATATCTGTTCTGGAAAACAGGTACGTTTAAAATTAATATTTTATAAAAGAATCTCAGAGAGAGATCTAAAAATTTGTATGCTTGCCTGTAACTAGCATAATGGAATATCCACTTGATAAGTAATCATCAGATATTTTTTAAAACTAAAGCAAACAAATAAAAGATTCTCCAAGTTATAAGAAATAGAAAAGAATAAAGATGTCTGAGCACATGAACAAAACCCAGCATTACAAATTGTTACACTCTAAGGAGAAACCTCCTTAACAGAAGGATAATTTAGAAATATTATAGGCACATTAAAGGAAACTTGTGCAATTTTTCAGACGAAAGTTTCCCAAAAATAGAATCGCAAAAATTGGCAGTTAAAAAAAGAATACCGAATAGCTTTGTAAGCGCTGTGAGTCTATGATCTGCATCATATTTTATTGCTTTATACACTTTGTAAAATAAAGGCAAGTATCCATGGAACCTATGTTAGTTTTACACAAATCTCTGACTTTAGTGAAGGTGAAAATCCTTAACTATCAACTATCTCTGTATTATAATACAGCAACCTGGAAACAGCAGTTTGTTCCTCTTTTAAAAAAGTTTGAAAAATTGTAGCTAGAAAATTCTAGTTCCCTTTTCTAATGACAATTACTACTGACAGTTATAATTTCTCTTAAGGGGTTAAGTTTTGACTTAGACACAAAATTTAACTGTTGATGCTCAGAACAGTTCAAAGTTCTGACAGAAAAAATAATACCCATATTTTCAATTCCTTAACATTCTCAGACTGACTGAATTAGAAAGTCTACAGTGCCACTAATTGCTGTTCTCCTACATCCCTTCGGTTCTGAGTACAACTCCCATGTGTGGAAAAGCAACCTGTTAACTGACATTGCTATACAATTTTTCCATAGCTTTATTTTTTTTTCAGGACCAGAATTAAGTTGTGGTTATTACTAAAAGTGGAAGACTTGCCCTTTGCTTGCAGCCAGTCAGAGTCCACTCTTTTGCCCTATGTAATTGCACAGTTCATGAAACTTGGGAATTGACCCTGCTCAAAGCTAAGTCAACAAAACCATGCTAGTTTTAGGGTGGGTCAAGAAACCTAAATAAGCAAGGAAAAAAAAAGAACAGTTACTTTGTTACAGCAAGCCTTGGCGTAGTTCACTTGAGACTTCAGGATTTGACTACATTTGAAGGTATAATTGTCTTAAAAAAAAAAAAAAAATCATTCCTTCAGTTGAACCAGTTGTTTAACCAATTTCATTCCATAAAATAGGCAGGCAGGTGCCAATCTGCAGATGTGACTACTAAGAGCACCTTGCTTGCTTTTTGTGTGCACATACACTCGATCTTAAATGTCATTCCAGCTTGGAGGTTAATAGTAAGCCTCCAATTTTCTGATACTTTTATGCAAATTAGTGTTGGCAGACACAGTTACAATTGCTGAGGTAAACCCTCTTCACCCTAACTTATTTATTATATATAGTTTAGTTGGAGTAGAAGATCCAGGCAAACTGAAGAGAGCATGATGAACTGGTTTCCAATATCTAACTAGTAAAAACTTGGATAAAAATAGTTCCTTTTAAATTTTTTTTAGTTTTCATAAGCTTTTTGGCAAGGAAAGTTCCTATTAACTTTCCTGGTAAAGAAATCTGTCTATAACAAAGCCAGGAAGTTTCTTCTGGCAGACAACACAGAAAAATTTAGAAAGAAACTTTGTGGTGTTTTCTGATGGACTCAGTTCTTTCTGAACACCAAGTATTACCTAGGAAAAAAAGCTAAAACTGACACATTTATTAATACTGAGGGAAGAGGAAAATACTTCTATATCTACACAGAGAACATGGATCAACTGAGAACCGGTCTTCAGCTTCAGCTCCCCCGATGAGTATGCTACCAGCCTCTGCCTACTAGTAGGAATACTGTCAGTGCACCAACAGACCATCCCTTCCCCCTAGATGTGAGTACTTAGGGACAGTCTCACCCCCTACATGGACTGTAACTGGTATCAGCCAAACAAAACTATAATTGGAAACTCTATTTCCAACAGTGATGAAATTAGATCTTGATCAATACAATTAATTTTATGAAGACCCTCTGCTGGCACCTCTATGCCAGTCAAAACCATCTAGCAGCTGCAACTTGTGTTCTTACTGAAATCTTCAGTGCTGATATGACCCTAATCACCAGCACCTTCTACTCTGTTTCTCTCACAGCAGTTTATTATAAACTATAGTAACAGCAGCTTTAAAATCAATCTCACCACAGCAGTAACAAGCTACTATACTTAGATTGCATGTCTTACTTTTAGTCAACCATTCTTTAATTACAGAAAAAAAGGGATATAAATTTATTAGCGTATTTCCAATAGCCTTCCTGAATTTGTAGGTGGGGAGAGAAGTGACAATATAAACCATTCTTTCAGATGGTTCCTTTTTCCTGCAGATGGTGGGGTAGAATATAAGCCAAGATCTTCTTCCCTGGTTTAGAACTTTTAGTTGATAAAACATCACCTCTAAAAGCATATCACAATTAAGATCTGAAAGACGTTCATCAGGAAGCAACCATAAATCATGAACCCTTCTCCCCCTGCCAAATTCGTTCTAGTAAACGATATTTAGAGAGGGATCAAAGTCAACCTCCACTAAGCATCCTGAAACAATTTTCAGGGTTTTGGTTCCTCATAGTAATATTTCTTTTCAGTTTAAATAAATAAAATAAAAATAAAATTAATAGAAATCTTCTCTGAATCTGTATTACATCAGTGCTTATGTTCCCCTGACTGACTGAAAACCTATTCAGGTTTCTTGATGTTTTGACCTCTCACATAAAATGAGGTCAACAGAATTTCCCCATCTAGACTGAAATGAATTACCATCTATATTTCAAAAATTTTGACGCATTCTCAAAACAGCCATGGCACTGCTGTTTATTAAAGTCTTCATTCTGGTTTGGTTTATAGTTGGAATAATGAAGATGACTAATGCATCAAATGCTTTACAGTTATGACTACTTTAATAGGCATTCCAAATACTTACTGAAGATGGTATGGGCAATGTCATACAATCCTGCCATGACACAGCATACTCACTACTCACTGAAAAGCACTACCATCTACATGTTTTTCATCAATAGAATCATTTACTACTCAGCTCTGCTTGAAGATTGCGTTTTCTTTACAAAGGATAAAGTTAATGTAAGTTTTTACAAATAAAGTTTCAGAACTACCCGCATTTTTAATAAACCAGTATAAATAGTTTCCAATTAATTTAGAAAATATTTTCTAAGGAATAGTTCATAGCTCTGAAAAGAAATAAACAGTGTTTGTACAGGAGTGCAAAAAAGGCAAACAGATTCTGAACAGCTCCTAATAGAATCATAGAATCATAATCCAACTTCAATAATAATTTTTTATTTTGGCAGCTACTATTTAAATATTTAGAAATGTCAGTCTCATTAGGCCATCTCAATATGAAAAGTACTTCCCAGCTACCAACCTTAAGTGTATTTTTTTCAGACACTAACTATAGCCTAGGTCTATACTGCCACATAACCCTCAAACTTTGGTGCTTGATTTTATTATTTTTAAGGACTCAAGCTCATTTAAAAAAAAACAACCCAGCAGTCTACTATCTGAATAAAATAATTTCTGCTATTATTAGCTAACTGCCAGACACAACTCTTCAGAACAGAATCTTCTCATAAAGGATTATGAGAAAGTTGCAGCTGTTCAGCCTGGAGAAGAGAAGGCTGCGTGGAGACCTCCTAGCAGCCTTCCAGTATCTGAAGGGGGGCTATAGGGATGCTGAGGAGGGACAAGGGGTAACGAGTTAAAACTTAAACAGGGGAAGATTAGATTGGATATAAGGAGGAAATTCTTTCCTGTTAGGGTGGTGAGGCACTGGAATAGGTTGTCCAGGGAGACTGTGAATGCTCCATCCCTGGCAGTGTTCCAGACCAGGTTGGACGAGGCCTTGGGTGACATGGTTTAGTGTGAGGTGTCCCTGCCCATAGCAGGGGGGTTGAAACTAGATGATCTTAAGGTCTTTTCCCACCCTAACTATTCTATGATTCTATGATTAAAATATTAGAAATTTAAAGTAGAATACAAAATATTTTACAGAAGTTACAGCACCCCAAAATAGTATTAAAATGGAGTAATACAGAAGCAATGAAAGAAAGATGAACAAGTGGCCAATTTATATTCAAACTTAATGTCATCTAAAAGGAATCCACCTAAATTCCATGAAAAGGAAGTTGAGCATCTCAGCTCTGAGAAAATACTGAGAGAGATGGGACTGTTCAGCCTGGAAAAGAGGAAGCTCAGGGGGATCTCACCAATGTATATAAGGGAGGGTGCAAAGAGGATGGAGTCAGGCTCTTTTCTGCCTGTGACAGGACCAGAGGCAGCACAAAGTGAAAAACAACAGAATCTCTCCAAACATCAGAAAGCACCAAGTGCGACCAAACACTGGCACAGGTTGCTCAGGGAGGCTGTGGAGTCTGCACCCTTGAAGATACTCCAAAGCTGTCTGGATATAGTTCTGGGCAACCTAAGTAGCCCTGCTTGAAGGCCTCCAGAGGTCCCTTCCAACCTCAATTATTTTGGGAATTATTAATTAGGTTTTTTTTGTTGTTTTTTTTTTTTCCCCATGAAAAGCTAAGAAAAGAAACACACACAATGACAGATCAAATAATTAGCAGTACTGACCATGATGTTCTTATGACTACATCAATTAATGATTTAATCAGCAAATAGCAATGCAACTCAAGCAAAAATAATTTTTCAGCTTTAAAAGGGATGGGGTGGGGAGCTCAATTTAATACAAGTAAATGATTATAAAATGCATTAAGTTCTAGAGGCTATTTAACAGGAACAGTTCCACTGGAAGTTAAACACCTGGAGAATGAAAAGAACCAAAGCAATAAAAGATCAACCAAAATCTCTAATGTCACTGAAGAACTGCTCGTATTACAAAAACAGGAAGCAGAGGTGTATCACTTTCTGCAAGACACACATCTGGAGTGCCTGTTTCACTGTTTTTCAGCAATTCTGACTGATAAATCCATACAACTTTAACCAGCCTAGATGTATTTTAGCTAGGATGAGTTTTACCTGAACAAAATACCAGCATAAATTTACACTTGTCTATAATTCCACTTAACTATGTCAAAACTAAGAGTGGAAACTGGTCTTCGAACTTCGTCGACAACTGGCTCTTTATCCTGTTACTACTGAACAAGGTGGGTAATAAGGATCTGAATTTGAAGACTGTAAACTACAATGCCTAACCTCTACTCTGCAAAAATCCCTGGTTTTCTGAGCTTTAACTGTCAAAGATGACATTCACTTTGCACTTTTTAACGTATTTAATGTATTTAATACTAGATTTTTATCTTAATAACTCACAGCACATTGATAAGTGAGTTACAAAAAACTACAATACTAATCAATGAACACTGATATCAGGATAGTTTCAGTGATCGTGTTTTTGTGAAACATTAAGCAAAACCCAACACACACACACACACACACACAAAAAAAACAACAAAAAAAACCCAAAACTCTGCAGAAATATTTTTCTTTTCACATCTCAAATTAAAAAGGATTAGATAATGCCCCATTTCCAATATGGGACATATTACTTAAAAATAATGTGAAGAATTTACTCAGTCCTGAATAAGAGAAAGTCTTCATTCTGCTATGTTTCCTGGTTAGTTCTTTTACTCTTTAGAATAAAGATTTTCTGATTTCTTCTTATTAGTAAAAAGTGTGTCACATACCTGTTGTGTGTTTCTTTGTGACTGTAAACTGGACTGCAGCCTTCTCAACAGAGGAACACCATTCCTAGACAGTCTTTTAAGCAACCAGTAACTGTGCACTCGTTCAACAAATTGCTTCTTCCGCTGAATGGCCACCTGATTCATAATCTTATTTAATCTAAAATATGGAAAAACTGATATTGTATTTTACACAGCAAAGCATAAAATGTATTTGTCTGTGGAAATTAAACATCAGATATAACATGAACGCATAACATCAGTGATCACCGTATTGTTCATTTCTTTCAACGACACCCCTTTCAGTACAACTGTTTCTGAGCAGTCAATTACAATCAAATGCATCTGCTCAACACTGCAATTTCTACTATGTACATTACTTTATAAAGCTGAAGTGTATTTTTTCATTATCATTATCCAAGAGCAGTCCCAGATTAGGGCTGAGAATAAAGCTTCATGTAAGTTTCACAATAGTTTTCCTATTAAAATCAGAAATAAAACTAAATCCCTACGAAAGTTTTCAGATCATTCCTTGCTATCTTCACACAGAATTAGTAGTTTATCTTAAAGACAATGTACCTTTAAACATTTTACAAAAAAGCATGCAACAAAAAGCTTGTATTATTCATTTACAAATATTAATTTTTTTGTAAAGTGAACAAAAAATGTAAACCAGAACACTTATTATTTTACTCCACATATACAAAGAAAATATCTACACAGAGAAGATGCAAGAGAGGATCATACGAACAGTTAAGTACTGTGTACTGATTAAATAATCAGTATTTTCTCCAAAGTTATTTTTTAAAACATGCAACTATCGTTTACATATACTGTTTACAAATACTCTAGCGAAGTACTGTAAGAAATTCACAACAACCTTGACTCTTAAACAATGACACACTGAATGACTAAGTCACACACAACACTAACATCCCAAGACTTGCACTAAAAAATATGTTTATCTGAAACAGACCTTCAACCCCTGTGCCTGCAGTGTCTTGAAATGACATAAAATAATAATAATAAAAAAAAGTTAATGGCTGTAGAATGAAAAGGTTTTGTCTTTGTATGATATTGCAGGATTTGTCACTGTTGGCAGCCCTTGCAAAATTAACACAAGATGTCCTAAGGCACCTACCCCCTCTTATTGTCAGGGGAATTGTTCATTCATTTTGGGGCAGGGGCGAGCTGGAGAGAGAAAAGGATTTCTCTGAGCTGGACTCAGTAACAGTTACAGAAAGGATAATATCAACGAACAGAATCTGTTAGTTCTTCACTCAGTGTATTACTGCCCACAGCAAAACTCTACAATGGAAGGTATACTTATCAGAGATTCTCCAATAAGATTTAACACCGAAATAGGAAAACTTAAATTCAAGAAGTGTCTCATTTGCAGAGCACTACCACAAGGCATTTAAATAAAAATTACAAATATATACGCATATTAGTACTGTTGTGCTTTTTCCCTTTTAATATTAGGAATAATGTAGTTTCACATGTAAATGGTAGAAGCAAGTCAAACACCTTAATAGAATGTAATGCTAGAAGTAAATCTTAGCTATAACATGTTGTACAAATACCTGAAAAACCTGAATAACATTTTTTTCAGACAGACACAAAAGCGAGTTCATCCCAAGTTCAAAGTTCACCTAGCCCTGGTTGGCTTTTTGGGGCTGCACGGAAGGTACAGTGCAATAGGTCTTCTCAGTGCTATGCTAACTAGCCACAGTGCTTTCAGCCATCACATCGTAAAGGCAGAGCAAACACAGGTTTTCTTCAAAATACAGTGCCATTGTGTTCCTTGGTTCTTTAGTGGCATTATTTTTCAACTAGCAACTAAGCCAGTTAGGCATTTTACCTTAACTTAAAGCTTAGAAAGTCTGCAGATGAATTTAGGACTGTCTTGTAAGTCTTTCATTGAAGAGCACAGGCAGGCTCCGCAAAGACTTACTCAATGCAAAACAGACCTCGATGTGACCATATTAAACTTCAAACATGACAGAATTACAATTAATTAGAGAATGCAATCAAACTCAAATAATTAATTTCACATCTCTCTCTTGGAAACAGCAAAACCTACTGAACCGAGCCAAAAAAGCACAGCCAATATACACCTATTTGGAAAGACCAGAGAAACATAACTTGACATGAAGAAAGGTGCTTTGGCTTCATGCCCATCAGATGTGGCAAGACTAAACAAATATCTTTAATTACAGCTTTAAGTACATTTAAGTATATTTGCCCATTCACATTACAAACCATTCTATTCATAGATAATTATAATAGTAAAGTGCAAGAATAAGCTTAGCAAAGATATCCACAGCAGATATTTTCAGATTCTCAAAATACAAAGAAGGTAATTTGGAGTGCAGAAATGACCTTACAAGGGGTAGGAATCTACTGCTCCCTCTAAATAAAACCAAATATTGGCTGTTAATATTTCATTTGGAAATCAGACTTTGGTAGTGGCAATATAGCACTAATCACCCCTTAATTTCTCAAAATAGAGAGGTCAGAGGCTCTTCACAAGGCAAGCTATGTACAGAACCTCCAACACTACGATCTTAGTGATATAATAAGGATGTTGTATCTGTTGCTAGCCCCTGAGAATCCACTAACTACAGTGCAGTTCTTTGATCACCTTTTTACTTAGATACTCCCATGTCGACTTTTACTGTTTGAAAAGCTTGAAATTTTGACAGACAATACAACCATTTTGGAGAAATACAATATGATTAACCTGCTGCTGTAGGACCCTTGAGGCAGCACAGACAGGGTATTGATCTGAAGCTCCCACTTTTGATAGTGCTACTGCATTGGGAAAGTGGTTCTCACAAAGATTCACTCAGATGCAGGGAAGGCTGAACACAAGCATGAAATAAGGCACAAATGTATGCACCAGTCTTGAACAAACTCCCTTCTGCTTCCTTAGCTTGAACTAGATTTGTAAATGATGAAACTGAATTCCCTGAGGTCTTAGAAGAGTTTGCTGCACATTCCACTTCTTTTTTTCAAGAGATGTAATTAAAAAAAATATTGAACTGTAAAAAAAAAAGTGTATATTTATGTATTTGAGGCAGGTAATGCAGAGCTGTTCAAAAACTTTATAGTTTTGCAATCCAGGATCTGACTTGCACAAGACACAATTAACCACTACACTACACCACCAAATCCCCCACGCAGAGGCAAGGTTTACACAACCTTGATCACTTCCCAAACTACACAAAACACCTCAGCAAAGGTATTGTTTTGCTAAACTTTGTCCACCTTTCAACATTTGTTAAGACAAAATTCCCAAGAAGCATCCTCAAACAGACCATGTTAAGTGCTAAATGCTTTTCTCTCAAAGCATTTAAGCAATTAACACAATTAAGCTAAACCTGTAGCAGAACAGTTCTTATACTGTCAGGTACTGCAGCCTGAACCATTATTCTGAGGCCTTAAGATAGAGTTCAGCCTGTCTCACAGAATGCTGTTTTTCCCCCAACTTACCAGTTACCTAAAATAAACTGAAAGAAGAACTAAAAAATTCTTAAAAAGGTGGCCATGCTCCCACGAAATTCAGTAGCTGCTGTATGTATCTGGTCTCATGAAAGAAGCATTAGGCTTCGGGCTCATGATCACTGCACCCTTTTGATGTTTTGGCACCACCAGTCATGCTTCCTCTTGTTTTTCGGCTTTTTGGGGGCTACATTCCAAGACTACACAGATGTCAAAACATTTTTCATAACCATTTTATTTGTGCCACAGGCAAGCCTGTACTACCTCCCTTCCTCAGCTCTGCTGGTATCCAACTGTAAACCACTGTGACACCCACTAAAAACACCATATGGAGGTACCATACAATTCCATGCTTGTATTTAAACAGGCAGAGATCCCTCTTCAGCTGAACCTTTCAAATAGCACCTGCAGCACCCAGCCTCAAACCTTAGCTCAGGCAAAAGTGTAGATTACAGCATTAAAACACTGCATTTACAAAAGCAACAGAAGGATGAGGAGAGGAAACTGGCTCTTTTTGAAAGAGTAAGATTCAAATAATTAAAATTAAAGTTAACATGCAACAGCTTTGGTAAGGAACTGTCAGCTGCTCTAAGCTAACCCTCTCAGAGACTTTTGATGGATAATCTACCCTACAAAAAGTAATACTCCCAATGCACTGGTTAAAGCATTGAGAAAAAGCCGAGTGTTATTCCCTCATCTTCAGAGAAATACATAAAATAATTTTCACCAACATGAAGAGATGTGTTCTTGTCATATTAGCAATCTGACAGCTTTGTTGTTCCTCCTCACAACCCCCTTCCTCTCCCAATTTCAGTTACAAGTCACTGTGGCAACTACAGCAACTGGTTGCAAGAGAAGTGAAAGCACTATTTCTAGTGACTAAGCTATGCGGCAGTTTAACATCGGAAAGCCAGCAATATATAATCAGCCATTTTTCTATTAATCATCACTAACCACTCCACAAACCCCACGCGCTTTCTAACCCCACAGATACCATTTCAGTATTACACTGTATCAAGACTTCTACAGGACTTCTCCATTCACAGGTTCTTGAAATATAAACTGGAAAGAAAACTTCCTTAAGCAAATACATGATTCTGCCAGTATTACAGTAATTTAGGCAGAAGGAACTGAACATGAGCATTTTATAGTTTAAGCAAGACCAAACACCCACTAAATCAAATCAGTTTTTAAACATGAACCAAACATAGTTTAATTACTATACTTGTCCTGAGCTTCCACTTTCATCAATTTCTTATTTTGCATCTTCCTTTACCAATACAGCTGTATTAAAAGCACATGTAAAAGACTAGAAAAACTAAATTATACTCTGTAACATGGTATTTAGTATCACTGAAGTACCAGTTTCTCTTGACCTACAATAATACCCATGAACAACCAAATGATGTTCCACTTCACTGGGCAAATAAAATATCCTTATTTTCCCCACACAAAGACTGCAGGTTAAGTTTTTAAAACCGGTCAGAACAAAACAAAAAAAATCCAAATTGAACAAATTGTAACAAAGTACACTAAATTTAAGAACACTGTAATGTTCAAGCCTTGTTCAACAAAGTTCCACAGAACATAATGAGGTTCATAGGAAGCAAGAAAGACAGAAAGTACCTACAAACAATTATAGTAATTCCAATGAGA